ATGTTGGGCGGTGAAGCAGCAACACGTACACAAAATGGGTGTAGTGGAGATTATGATGCTTCGTTGGATGTGTGGGCACACGAGAAATGATAAGATTAGGAATGAGGATATCCGAGGTAAAGTAGGAGTAGCCGAAATTGAAGGAAAGATGAGAGAAAATCGGTTACGGTGGTTTAGACATGTGCAAAGAAGGCCTACTGACGCTCCGGTTCGAAGATGTGACTACGGGACAGAGGTTCAGGGCCGAAGGGGTAGAGGAAGACCTAGGAAAACTTTGGAAGAGACCCTAAGAAAAGACTTAGAGTACTTGGATCTAACGGAGGACATGACACAAAACCGAGCGCAATGGCGTTCTAGGATTCATACAGCTGACCCCACTTAGTGGGAAAAGGCTTTGTTGTTGTTGTTGTTGTTGTGGTCCCAATATAAAAGCTCCAAAAAAAAAAAAACCAAGATGAAAATATCATTGAACTATTTGGAGATGAACTATTTGGAATATGATTGTCCGAACTAATTGATGATGATTTTCACTTGTAATATCGTTCCATACTTCTAATTTCTACACATATCAATTAATAAAAAAAATCTATATCAATTGATGAAGCTAAACAAATATTATATGAAAAACGAGAAATCAGATTCATTTATAAATTTATAATTAGGTCCGTGCCCGTGGGATTCTAATATTATGAATGTCAAAGGCAAAAATGCAGACACAAAGGCAATGACTAGATAGGTGAACGAAAACATGCCTTGCACTTGTGAGAAATGCACAAATTGTAGAATATATAGTTTACGCCTTCCAAAGGCTGCAGCTTGATTAACTCACTACACTCTACGAAATAGTTCTTGCAATTCCACTACCACCTCAAGTTCGGAAAACAAGCACGGAAACAATATCGAAAGAAAGCACAAATTTTTACACACCCTTTTAGCATCACAAACTAGTTGCACTCCAATTCACAATGCATATAGCCAACACATTACACAAAAACACGAAACGAATATCGAAAGAAAGCACCGATCTTTACCCACCCATTTAACATCAAACCATGTCTGCCTTTGCCAACCACTCCAACTTTCCACAACTTGCCAAAACATGATTTTGAAACTAGCTCTACAAAGATAATGCACAATTATATATAATCTATATGATATTTGCTCAAGTATAGCTTCTTATTCTTTCACTGTCTAGTTAAGCTAAAAGCAATAAATTAGCTTTACAATGAAGCCGATGAAAATTTAGGAAACATGAAAAGCAGATGACTTTGACAGTGTGGCCCAAAAGCCAAAGCTAAAAACTTTCAAGGGTAAAAATCTGAAAGAAAACCAGTAGAGCTAATCTTCAAAACAGACCTAATCTTCAATATTTAAAATCAAATTTCATATCAACATTAGGCAAAAAAATACTGACAAAATAGAGCTAATCTTCAATATTTAAAATCAAAATAATTAAATTAAAAAAATAATTTAGATGCAAACATCAAACAAGAATAGAAAAAACAAAGCTATCCCATTTGAGCTAAGAAATAAAGAAGCAAAATTTACATGTGGCTATCTCTGGCTTCAAAATCTTGTTTTCCCCAAACGACGCCTCGCGGCTCGACCCCCAAATCGTTACCATACTCTGCTGCTGCTCCACTTCCGAAATTACCAAAACCCTCATTCCATTCCTTCTCTTTCCTCTCAACGAGTCCAGCCCAGTCCTATAGCTACACATTCATATATATACTAACACTATCAGCAGACTGCAGTGGCTGGCAAAATTATTTAATGGAGAGTCACAGAGTCAAAGAGAGTACAAATACAAACCTCCTCGACCAAGAAGAAGACGACCAGTGGGTAGGGCAGCGGCGGCTAGCCTCCAGAGTCCAGATCAGAGCTTCACAAGGAGAAAAAACGCAGAAGGGTTACAGATTTGGTAAAGTGAAGGTTCTATTGCTGAAGGAGTTGATTGCTGTGAGTGTGAGGGTTCTCACGTGAGTAAGATTTTAAACTTTTTTTAATGATCTGGCTCAAAACGATGTTGTTTTCGCCAAGTCATTTTGAAAAAAAATTGGCTTTCTTCTTCCTCCTCCTGAAACGCACAGCTTGCGACAGCCATGGCTATTGTTCTTCTCCATCACTGCCCAGACTTGGGTGGTCCTTGAAGATCCTCACATCCATTTTTTTGAGCTTTGGGTGGTCTCGAGACCATCCTGGTCCCTTAATAGATCCGCCCCTGCGTGTCATTATACAAATGGTGAGATATGTGTTAAAAATAATAACTTAAAAAAATAAAAATTTCCACTATTTACATGAAAACACGTGGTGTATTCCCGTCATAATGAAAAATTTCTCGTATTGCACAACTCAAATAATTGAGCTCAATTTGGTAGCATGAGAAACATTTTTCTTCCCAACATGATCCTCTTTGGATTCTTTTGGTAAGGATCTTAGGAATTCATGAATCGTGTTCGTTCATCGTACATTATGCGGTCAGTTTTTGTCAAGTAATGTTTGTGTTTAATTTTAAATAAAAATATTTAAAATAATGTTTGACCGCATAATGTACGATGAACGGACAAGATTGAAAAATCCCCGTAATTTTCACAAAGAAAATCTGACGAGAATCCGGATTCCTTTTCTTCATCATTTTATGCACGGCATACATGCATTAGGCGTCCCCACTTCTGGTTTATTATATTGCACCACTTCTCATTGTAGTCTCTTTCAGCTTAATCTTATCTTTAGTGATTGTTTTGACATAAAGATTTTCTAAAGAATAAGAATTTGCGTTAAGTAAATGAGCCAGTTATAATTAGATCATAACGTTGGTTAGTATTTTTAGTGATCGTTAAAAGAATTTGAACTATTATAATTATAAATATTAAAATTAAACATAATAAAGTTGATTCAGCAAATGTCAATGAGTCGAGTTTTGACATATAAAGTAATTGTAGCCTCCTTTAGAAATCGGTCAAGACTGGAGAATAACTCGTTTCGATGTGCGACAAATAAACAATTTGTGTGATGGCAATTTCAAGAATTTTTTTTCTTATCTTTCTTATGTGGGATTGAAGATAGGCCTAGAAATTTGATTCAAACCTAACATATATCACTTCCTATCTATTTTTTTTGTGTGTTCAATTATTTTGGGCTTTTTTTATTAGCATTCCACAAAATGTTGAATGCATTTTACATTAAAATGTAATATTAAGTGACTTATGTAACTTACTATATAATGACAATTTCGACCTTATGGGGTTTAAAGAAAATAAGAAATTTCTAAATACACCCAAAGTTACTTTTAACACATTATTTATTTTCTTAACTATAAAAACCCCTCTCAACCTCCACTCTATTGATGAATAAAATTCTAACTATTAAAACTATAAACACGTTGATTGAGAAAAAAAAAATTAATGAACGGAACACGATATCAATATTTCGGAAGCTTCACATGAGGTAAAATTTCATATTTGTCATTGTTTTAATTATTCAACAACATCAGTAATTATTTAAGCCTGCTTTTGCTTTCCATACTACCCAATTTCATAGGAGGCCAACCCAGCAACACATTTTCCATTCTTATTCATCTTCTGGGGTTTACTTTTGCTTTGTTAGGTTCCTCCCAGTTGCCATTTTTTAGCAGAAATCCTTTTTTGTTAGCAAAAGACTTAAGAGATAGAGAAAAGAAGATTGGCTATGATGACCCAATGAAACTCAGGCTCAACAGACTGGATGGTAGACTTCCCTTTTTAGAGAATGTTAAGGTTTTAATCCTAAGTCAATTTAATTTATAAAAATTGAAATTGAGTATTATAAGATTTGAAGAATGTGGAGTGTATAAAAGCTGTGGGGTGTATGTGGAAAATATTAGGTGTATGAGAATGTGGGGGTGTAAGGGTATTATGAGAAAGTATGTGGGGTGTATTAAGATAAATTTTAATTAAAAAAGCAAATGTGTGGTGTATTAAGTATGTGGGGTTTAATCAACAATATGTGGGGTGTTAATAAAATAAGCCTTATTTTGTTCAACTTCCTATTACCCCTTCTTTGTGTTTTTTTTTTGGGGGTAATTTTGACATAGGTAATGCTATGCAGACTACATATTTGAAGCATATTTTGTAAATTATATGCCAAGTTCTCGATGATTAAATCAGGGTTATTATATTAACACCCCACATTTGTTTTTTCAATGAAAAATTGTCTTAATAAACCCCACATATTTTCCCATAATACCCTAACACCTCACATTCTCAATATACACTTTACATTTTCTACATGCACCCCAAATTTTCTATACACCCCACATTTCTCAAATCTTATAAATTTTTTTTAATTTGGGCAAAAAAACGCCGACTAGAATTTTGATAAAAGATGTCGAGATTTAAAGCATACGTGGGTTGTTTTCAATTCCACCATTAAAACTCATATCATCTGTTTTTAATATTTGGTGGTAATTTTAGGTATTTAATTCTTCATGTAATCCGTGTGATCCCTAAAAGATGATTACGAATATAGAAGCTTGAATAATGCAACAAAAGCAAAATTAAATAATTATCGATGTCATCAAAATCACTAAAACAATAAGGAATATGAAGTCTTACCTCATGTGAAATTTACGAAACATCGATTTCGTGTTTCATTCGTCAAAAATAATTTTTCTGAATCAACATGTTTGTAGTTTCATTTGTTAGAGTTTTGTTCAACAATGGAAGGTCGAAGGGATTTTGATAGTTGAAGAAGATAAATAATACGTTAAAAATTATTTTGGGTGTATTTAGAAATTAAAAAAAAAACCTGATAAGGTCAAAATTACCATTGCATAGTAAGGTAAATAAATTATTTAATATTAAATTTTAATGTAGGATACATTCAACATTTTGTAAAGTGCTAATATAAAAAGCCTTAAATTATTACTAACATGCTAATTTTTTTTTATTAATGATCCCTCACTTGATTTGTAAATTCGATCTGAAAAATTGTTTTCCATATAAATTGCGTCACATACCTCTCACCCCTCCACGCCTCATTTTTATTATTTTTTCCCGTGCGAAATCAAATTCTCTCACTACAACCAGAACCAAATCTCTCTCCAACCCCTTCGAGTTTTTAAAGCGGCGTCGTTTGGAGACCATCGTCATCACCGTCACCAACCATGTCGTCGTCGTCGAAGAAGATCACCCTCAAGAGCTCGGACGGCGAGTCGTTCGAGGTCGAGGAGGCGGTGGCGCTGGAGTCGCAGACCATCAAGCACATGATCGAGGACGATTGCGCAGACAATGGCATTCCTCTGCCCAATGTCACCAGCAAGATTTTGGCCAAGGTCATCGAGTACTGCAAGAAGCACGTCGACGCCGCCAAGCCCGACGAGAAGATCTCCGAGGACGATCTCAAGGCCTGGGATCAGGAATTCGTCAAGGTCGACCAAGCTACGCTCTTTGACCTCATTCTGGTATGTTAAAACCCTAATTTAACCTTGAATTTTGGTCTAATTCTTGTTCGCGATTGCTTGGTTTGATTCTAGGGTTTCAGAATTTGGGGATTCGCTTGGGTTAGGGTTTTTAATTTGGGGATTGGGGTCAATTGTGTTGTTTTAGGGCCTAGGGTTACTGATTTAGGGGTTTTCTATGAAGGTTTGGTATGATTTAGGGGTATTCCTAGGTTTCTGTGAATTTAAATTGGTTGATTTTGTTGTTTCGTTACTGATGGCTTATCTTGATATCGAATTACTATGCTTGTTCCGTTTATACTTAAATTTGTGTTGTGCTTATGTTTGAAGTTGAGATAAAGAGTGATATTTTCGCCTTGAAATATTTGCCTTTCGTTTACGTGTCTTGCTTTCTTGTTCAAGTTGAGATTAAGTTTGCTTATAAGAGAATGTGAATCCTTCTGCAACATCGGTGCTGTGTTAGTTTTGGAAGAATTAACTAGTTTCGTATGCAATGTCATTGTCCACTTTGGTGGTTATACGGACTCTTTTCTTATGAGAGAAGCAACCGCTTCTTTGCAGGAATTTTTTTTAGTCCTCTGCGGAAGTACAATAACTTGAATCCCTAGAGAATAGGCAATTTGGAATGGTACAGCAACCAAAGACTACTATTGGCTATGACCCTAAGGGTGCGTTTGTTGCACTGGACTATCTCGGATCGGACTAGCTTAAGGGACTAAGCTGGACTAACTTAGTGAAGCATTTTGTATTAAAAATATCAATATGGAAAAAATGGCATCTTCTTCGCAAATTGTTGGTGCTCCTCTGCACCTTGGAAATTGCAGAACTTCCAACAACAAACGCTTAACCCTAATTCCAAAGAAATCAGAAATCGTTCAATTTGGTATCCCAGAAAAATCAGAACTAATTGAAGTCATTCAAAATTTGATCAACCACTCCATTCGTAGAATCTAGAAATCGTTCAATTTGATCAGAACTAAATGGTATCCCAGAAAACTCACAAATCCAACCTCCCTTCACAAACCAAACGCAACGAATTCACGGAATCCATCAAATGTTCTGAATAAAGAATAGAACAAATAAAGTAAAAAAAAAAAAGGAGAGTAAGACTGCAAAGCACCCAACACAAAACCCAATCAACTTTTGCAAACCCTCCATGGTTATAATCCTTCGTAAGGAAATCAAATCCCAAAAAAATTAAATCCTTCAAGCTCACTTGTATATGCAGGACCAAAAATTCGATTTGAAAACCTTAAAGCGCCGGAGTTCTCTTGAATTGGAAACGGAGCTCGTGGGTTCTTCGATTGAAGGTCAAATCTAAGGTCTAATTAATGATTTTGGGCTCAGGGCGAAGAGAGAGAGAGATCTTGCCAGAGTTTGGTGAGTGTAGGACGCGATGCGAAGAAGAAAGCAGAGAAGGATGCGATGTGAAGAAGAACACAACGAGGATCTTAGCAGTTCCATGGTATTTGGGGGGTCTCGCTAAGACCCTTAAGTGAGAGAGTTAGTGAACACAAGTCCTCTTCAATCCCATTAAACATAGTCCCACTATGTAACAAACATAGGACTGCACTAATGAGTAGTCCAGTCTAGTCCATTGAAGGCTAGTGAAGCCAAACAAATGCACCCTAATAGACTAAGTAGGGAACAAAACATGAGGAAAGAAGTAAAACTAATACTATTGTCGGTTTAATTTGGTTATGAATGTATTGCGTAATCATTTGTAGAAACTACAGTAATTTGATATGGTTGTTTTCATTCTTTCTGTGGGTGGCTGATCGCCGAAACTGACATTAACTATGTATTTCTAATATATGGTGATATTGGTATTGACACTGACAGGCTGCAAACTACTTGAACATCAAGACCCTTTTGGACCTGACTTGCCAGACGGTTGCAGACATGATCAAGGGTAAGACTCCGGAAGAGATCAGAAAGACCTTCAACATCAAGAACGACTTCACCCCGGAGGAAGAGGAGGAAGTTCGTCGTGAGAACCAGTGGGCGTTTGAATGAAGTTCTCGGTGATGTCTCTTTAGTGGGGAACTTCAAGAGCTGGCATACCTATTGTGTATTTTAGTTTATCAGCTGACTTCTTTATTATTCTGTGTTTTTAAGTGCTTTATCGGAGTCGTTAAGTCCTTGAATTGTAGATAAAAGTTGGATTCTGGTGTTGGTGGTTGTTCTTACTGCTGTCAATGCCAGTCAGTTTTACTCTTTCTGAATTACAATATTCTACTTCCATTAAGTGGTTTCTCATGTGGTTTGAATCAAGCTTGGTGTGTGTGCCTTAGTTGTGTTCTTTTCTAGCTTAATGGGGATATTCATTTGATCGCAACTGGTGTGCTGCTCATGAATTTTTGTGAATTTTCGAATCCTTGTTCCGAAAGACACAAGTGTTCACAAAGATTTGATTTGGGCTCACTTAACGACCTCTTTGTTTTTAGTTTTTAGTTCACTTTTTGTGGTTGAGATGTGGAGAGAACATATTAGGGAAGGGGAGGCATAAAAAAGGATGACGAATGCGAGGCAAAGAAAGAAGAAAACAATATCGCAAAGGTGAAAAAAATTTAGAACGATTTTTGGTTTTTATGTTTGGTTGTGTCCCGTATTACATTTCTTCTATATCTTTGTGACGACCAAGCTCTCATGAGATGTAGGACTTGTTTGAGAAATCCTTTCAAATTACCGAAAGTGTTTTTGAAAAAAATATTTTTGGGTTCAAAAAGCACTTGAAGTGCTTCCTAAAAGAAACACCAGCACTTCAAGTGTTTTTCCAATGATCCACTTGCATTTTTACTAAGGATTGGTTTCAAAAACATTTTCTTCAAAAGCGTTTTCAGTCATTTAAAATGCACTTCCCAAATAAGCCCGTACTCTTTGAGATTGGAAAGCTGCTTTTGTACAAATAAGGTATAACCCAATGAGACCCAAACGAAGAATTGCCAAAACCCTTTATGAAATCAAACGCTTTGATCACAAATAGAAAATTTAGTAATCTCATTTCCTTGTTAAATAATCCATGAAATTCAGTCGAAACAGGGAAGGATCACGGCTGCTTTGGCTCCCGACATCCCGAGCATTACCCATCTTCATTTTCTGACATGTTCAGAACTTTATGCCAACTTTCAGTTTGTGTGTACAGAGTCATTGCTGTTGGAAGTCAGGAGTCTACAAGGTCAACTTGATAATGTCTTCCAACTCTGAGCTCATGAACAATTTCATTCAAGTCCACAAGATTGCATCCGGGGATTCTTCCCAACTTCATTTCTTTCATCATCTTGTTTACCTGAGTAACATTCTCCCATTGACCTGACACGGCATAGACATTCAGCAGCAACCGATAGTAAGCAATGTTCTGAGGTTCCTTTTCAATGAGAGACTTTGCAATTTCTCCCAACTTCGCATCTCCTTGGAAACGACACGAGCCAAGCAGACTAGCCCATGCCAAGGATTCCGGTGCCAAGTCCACAGCAACCTCCGGCATGTTCCTAATTATTCCCTCTGCCTCTTGTCTAAGCCCCACACTAGCCAAAGCATTAGCCATGCACCAATAGTGTGCAAAATTGGGCTTTACTTGGAAGACATTGATCATTTGGCTGAAGTAATCTCTGGCTTCTCTTACCAATCCAGAGCGGGCACAGGCACAAAGAACACCTATAAAAGTTACTTCATCTGGGATAATTCCTTCCCGATCTTCATCTGGCCTCGAACTCTCCTTCTCATGGATTGTTTCTCCATCTCTTGACTTTGTTCTACCCACCATTTCTCTATATAGGTTAAATCCATCTTCAGGATTTCCATGAATGCAATGCCCCAAAATCATTGCATTCCAACAAACCAGATTCCTATACGCCGTGCTCTCAAATACCAAACGCGCCACTTGCACCCTTTCACATTTACAATACATATCGATCAAAGCTGTGTTGAGAAATATATTCCACTCCAAGAATGTCCTAATTAGACATCCATGAACTGACCTTCCTTCATTTAGTCTAGCAGACCGACCACAAGCCGCAAGCATATTCACCATGGTAGTTTCGTTCCCCCTCAATCCCATGCCCACCATTTTCCTAAACAACTTCAATGCACACTCAGGCTTCCCTCCCTTCCAGTACCCACCAAGCATAACATTCCAAGAAACCACATTTCTCTCAGGCATTTCATCAAACAACCTACGTGCAACCTCAATATCACCAAATCTGGCATTCCCATCGACAATTGCATTCCAAGACACCAAGTCCCTCTCAGGCATTTCATCAAACACCTTCCTGGCAAGCTCTAATTCCCCACAACGACAATACATATGAATTAATGAGTTCTGCACATGCAGCACAGAGTCCACCCCATATTTCACAACCTGCCCATGGCATGTTCTCCCAGATTCAGCACAACCCATTTTCGCACACGACCCGAAAACCGGTATGAAAGTATAGCTGTTGGGAACAAACCCATTCCTCAGCCATTCCAAATACACCACCAAAGCTCGGACCGGCGCCGAACTCAGTGAGTACGCCTTAATAACTGTATTAACGCAAAATCTACCAGGAGCATCAATGTAAACGAAAACCCATATCGTATAATCGAAATCGCCGAAATAGTAATAGCTATTGAGCAACTTCCGGGCCCAAAACGAATCGAAAAGGCCCCGGGTGATCAAATGGGCGTGGAGTTGGGTGATCTGGATCAAGCTCTGACACGAATCGAGAAGCGAAAATATGTAGCGGTTGACAGAGGGTTCGAACGAAGAGGAGGAAAATGGGGAGGATGGCAAGGAAAGATTGAATTTTGATGGGTTGGAAGCGAGGTGTGAGAAAATGGACCTCCGGAATCGAAAGAGTTCACGGGTGCAAACCCTTGCCATTCAGTAGAGATATCGTACCAAACGAATAGTTTCGAATTCGAAGTCCAGTTGGTTTTCGCCATTAACGCATATTGAGATCCCTCTCTGTACTTGCAGTGCAGCACCTCCCCTCCCCGTAGAGCTGCTTCTTTCGGACTTGATTGTCTGCCTATTCAATATATTTTGTAAAGGCGTATCAAAATTTTATATTAATTTTTTTTATAAAAATAATAAGATAAAAAATAATATGAATATAAAATATTAATGTGATTTAATCATGATCATAAAAATAGAAGAGCATGGCAAGAATATGAAATGAGGAGGGTAGACAATCCAAGTCCGCTTCTTTCGAAGGCAACGAGATTTATTTTAGGAAATTAATAAAAATGATATGAAAATTTTAAGTTTTAACGAAAATAATAAAATAAAAGAATAAATGAATAGTACTATAATTGATATTTTAATATAAAAAAATGATTTTTCATTAAAGTGAATAGTATTCGGAGTATTTCGTTAAAGTTTTCTTTATTTTATTAGACCAAAACGCCCCGTTATGAGTAATTGTGTGCCTTCAATTTCATAAAACGGTGCGTAGCAAGAAGGCGTAGTGTTTTTCTAGAGAGAGAGAAACCCCAAACATAAAGTTAGAGAGAGAAAAGAAATGGTGAGAGGAAGCATAAAGCTTCTTAAGGATGCTGGGTCTGGACTCAGCAAAACCCTAGCTGACATACTCGTCTGCCCACTTTCTAAGCAACCTCTAAGGTTTTGTTCTTTAACTTTTAATTATTTTAATCTCTGATTATTTATTTGTTTAATTTTCTTTGGTAATTGCATCACCGGTTAAATTAATTTGTTTTTGGGTTTTTTTTTTTTGTGTGTAGGTTTTGCGAGCAAACAAATTCCCTAATTAGTGATGCAATCGGTGTTTCCTTTCCTGTGAGTTCCAAATTCCAATCCTAAATTTATATGCAGCAATTAATTCAATTTTTCTCTGAATTTTAATTTCTGGGCAGCTCGTGTAAAGGCTGTATATTTGGTGTGAGCTCAAATTATGCAACATTAGAAATTAGTGAAAAATAAGATTTAGCCCACTATCTGTATGACAATTTGTGATGGCTTTTGAATATTATTGAGGTTTTGTGTTGGCCTCGGAGGTGCGCGAAGATAGGCTCGAGCTAAGATTACTGATGAGTGTTTATGGTTTTAACTTGACTGAGTGTGAGACCTACTGGTCCAACAGAGACGAAAGTTAGTTATAGCGATTCGGGAGTTCAGTGTGGAAGGGGGATAACATGAATGATTGTCAAAAATTTCATCTTCTCTATATGTTTTTGCCTCTATAGCTGAGGTTGTATTAAGCTGAACATGAATGATGGACATTGTGTAAATTCCATCTTCTCCATATGTTTTTTGCCTGTATAGCTGACGTCTAATATGGTTCCTTATTGTATTGATTACTCGATAGATAAAGGATGGGATACCTAGCTTAGTACCAACAGATGGCAAGACACTCGAGGCGGATGAGACAATAAAAACTGAAGATTCTGAAGAATCATCAGACAAGCACGAAGCAGATGGAATAGGCAGTCACTAGGTCGAATTGTGAAACTTATGGTATTGTCCCACAGAGTTACTGTTGTGGGATTTATTGCAAATTTACTCGTATGTGCCTCCTCTTGCTAATCTCTTTTAAGCCTTTTGTTGAACCAATTTGTTCATGCGTTGGCAGACGGGAGGTCACATCGTCAAGTGTTCTTTATTCAATTTGTGAGGAATTGCCTGATAATTCATGTATGGCTTGTTACTCAGTGCCTTTTGAATGATTATGTGCTTTATTATCTGAGAGGAATTCTTCTAGAGAGGTTCTCTGAGATTTCTTCCGAGATGAAAATTATACTGAGTTGTCACTCAAAAATAAACGTTGAGCTGAATAAATTCATGCATCGCTTCCATTTGCGGATGTATACTTTTACATTGATGTCTGGCATGGATTTTTCCCTGTCACTGAGTCTGTTAAAAGGAGAGAAGGTTGTTTTCTGTTGTCTAAGATTGTTTTTGGATGACCTTTGCTTTTCGTTGAACCTTCCCAGTCTCGCATTTTGCCTAGATTTTACCAGACCAATATAAATAGGATCAAGACTTGTGTTGGTTTCTGAAGGACAATCAGACTGTTAGCTGTTTATCTTCAATGTCACCTCATGGTCCTCACCTGCACCTCTTGCTTCAGGCTTACTGTCGTTACAATGTCTTTATTGCTTCCTCGAGTCTCTCCTCGTTCTACTAGGTTTGTGCAAAAACAGATCATGCTTTAATCTGTTTATTGGTAAAGATTTAACTCTTGACCTTGTTTTTGTCGAAAAAGTTACCGCTTGATCAACTAGTCTGGTGTGAGTTGGGTGCCCTATGGTATGTCATGCACAGTGTATTTTCACATCCAAGTTTCACAAAGTCTTGACATCAATTGACCTTCTACCGGCAAGTAGTTTGACCCAGGCATCTCATGGGTTGCAGAAAGTGAGAAGTTTCAATCTATTCGTTCAAAGAAAATAGTTGGTTCCTTAAATGAAAGGAGTGTTCTTTTTTTGCAGATAATTTACAACATGATGTGTGTACAAATTTTTATTTTTTTTGGGTGTTTTTAACGAGCTCATTTTGCATATATGTTAGATTGTAATTTGCTGGTAACGATATTTTTTTTTAATTTTTACTTGCAACGAGCCAAACAGTGAATCAGTGAACGATAATAGGTCTTATAGACTAGTAGACAAGGAATAACAATTTTGAAGTAAAAAAAACCCAACTATTACTCTAATTGTGATTAATCAAATTAAGAAAGGTCAAGAGTAACAGTCCCTTTAGGTGCAACGCAACTGCCTTTGAGAAGGAACTTTAGAAATCGTTCCTTAATATAACAACCCTTGCAACCCACGCAAAACAACTGAGGACCATCACTTTCACACTCCCTCCAACCTCAAACTCTATTAAACACCTTCCCCGAACGCTAATCCTTCACTAAACCAAATGGTTCTCAAAAGGGCAATCTCCTTGATCTCTAGTTTTTTGGGTCCAAGAGAGCACCCGGCGATCGTTAAGGAATCCCCGTGTTTGCACGAGGCGATCGGATGGGATGTCGGGACAAAACTAAAGGAAGAGGGTTTGGCGGAGTCTCAAGCATTATCCAGCTTGAGTAAGGATAAGGTGTGTTGTGTGTGTTTGTCAAGATTGGTTGAAGGTGAGGACATGAGAGTTCTTCCATGCCTGCACGAGTTTCACAAGGTATGTGTGGACAAGTGGTTCGATGCATGCCAGACAACGTGCCCGCTGTGCCGGTTTCCGGTGGGAGGAGGTGAGAAGTCTCAGGTGGTGGAGTTGCTGACTGAGGAGATTATGTTTTATTTTTCTTCTTTTCATATTTCTGGGTTCTAAAGATTGTGCGGATATCGAAACAGAAACACTGAACCATCTAGTCCATGTGGATTTCAAGCATGTAGACTTTCACTAGATAAAATGTTCATTTCTTCACCAAATCCTTGTAAGAAAAAAGAAACAGAGCCAAAAGCAAATCATCGACATTTTGCACTGCTTGGTCAGACCAATGTCCTTGTTTCCTGGTACGCAAGTTCGAATTCTTATCTTCGTAATATTAGATATTACAGTTTAAATCTCCATCACCGTATAATAGAACAATTTAGAATATCGCATTGTAAAAACGAAACAACCACAACAACAACATGCTGGCACATAACAAAAATGAAATAACATTTATAAGAAGCGTTCTCGCTTTCCTTGCATCCGATTTCGAATCGCCATCTCCATAATTTAGAGCAACTATAATTTTTTAGATTATCACATTTTAAAAAAGAGAAATCAAACATTCAGGGCCAAGAAAAGTTCTGGAACAAATATTATGTGAAGTTCCGGCCCAATTAAAGCCCAGAAAAAAATATAGGATATAATGACAAAAAAGTTCCGTTGCCGGGAATCGAACCCGGGTCTCCTGGGTGAAAGCCAGATATCCTAACCGCTGGACGACAACGGATTTGATGGTAACGTATTAGTGTTATATTTATATGAACCATACTGGTCAACAAGCATTGCCAAATGCCCTGCCAACAGACAATAGCTTTTCTTTTCTCCATTTCAGTAGATTAACACCACAAACATTAATTAACCACTGTTTGGACAAAATTTTTGACCTAATCATCATGCATCCATGTTGTATTTATTAATTGAGAAATCGAGGGTTCTGTCGTTCATATGTTATTCACTTGTAAACAAATTATAACACGTGAATTGATAACACTACGTGACAGTGTGACTCACACCTATACTTTTTACTTTTAACTGAGAGACAAAAAAAATCTACCGTTGACAATTGTCTCCTAAACACCATATTTTGATTCAAAGAACCCCCCAAAACATGACTACTAAAGAAACACTTAGTTGTGAATAAATCCATGCTAGTACTCAAATCTCAGATTTGGGTCACAATATGGGTTAGGGTTTTTCAAATGCATAAGATACTCAAAATCCAAATTTGATTAAGTATATTTATAACTTAGAATTCATATATATGTTATTCACTTGGTATGTTATTGATTGAGGAATCGAGGATTTTGTCCTTGATATGTTATTCACTTGTATACAATTTCTAATACGTGAATTAATAATGCTAAATAAACACTTGATAGGAATACAAACATGGCTAGACCATAGAGGACATATATGATACAATTTTGAGCTACTAAATAAACACTTGCTTGTGAACAAATCCATGCTAAGATTCAAACCTCAGATTTGGATCAAAATATGGGTTAGGGTTTTCTCTTTTTTGGTCAGAAGGGCTAGGGTTTCTCAAATGCATAAGAAAAGCAAAATCCAAATTTGATTTTTACAAGGACATAACTTACGAACATATTATTATTTACAGTAGACGGATTTAGTAAAATTAGTTGTGTTCTACCTCACACACTCAACTTCGAATCTTAATCTTTCTTCCCTAATTTTAATGATTGTCAAAAAACATATATTATTATTATTTACTTAGCACTCATATATGGGTTTAAATAAGACCTTTTACTTGCTAATTGCCATTAATGGTTAGCCCCACATTGTCAACGATGCTCCTTTCAGGTCATCCTATATTCCTATTGGATCATGGCAAGCTTGGCAAAGTAACTCAATAACCAAGACAAGCCGAAGCCAAAATACAAACCGACAGCATAAGATAACAATGGCTGCCACCAGAAGACGGAGTGAAACAAAACCCAGAGTTTGTACAAGTGACTTCCTCAATAGGCTTGATCAAGATAAAGTGATGGGAAGGTTTAAAAAGCAATTGGCCCATATGTAATCACTTCTATAATTCCACGAGGGAAAGGGATCATCTCCGAAACCCTTCCTCCTAATCCACCAAATCTAGGGATCGGATCGTTAAAATTTGATATAACGGCTAAAGTTAATATAATTTTTAAAATGAATCCTTGTTTGTAACCGTTTGATTAAATTTCAAAATCCAAATCACCGGACTTGATGGATTAGGACGGGATTAGGAGAGGATCCCTTTCCTTCTATGAGAACGGAAAATATGGATTTTTTCCTATAAAAGAAACACTTGTGGCGCGTTTACTAATCCGTAATCAAATTGAGAGGAATTGAATTGAGGAGGAATTGGATTGAGGAAGAATTGAAATAAGGTGGAATCAGAATCAGATTCTTGTTGAAGTTGTTTACTAAAACTGTCTGGAATCGGAATAGAATTCCATAAAGCTGTTTACTAATTCATCAGAATTGGAATATAAACTAGTATGATTACTAAAATACCCTTGTCCCAAATCAAATATTTTATTCTATATTTATGTTTAAATGCATTTTTATTAGTTACTTTTATTTATTTAGTCAAAGTAAAGAGTTAAAATGTCCATTATTAATTAATTGTGTATAAATTAAATTATAATCTAATTAAAAGCTGTAAACAAAGCGGCAAAGCCACATCCATCTTCTTATCCCGTAGAAGAAAAAACCCAGAACGACTCCCAGCCGTCAAGACCACACGAGCATCGACATCGCCAAGGTCGCATCGTCAAAGCGACGTCGCACAACGATGAGCCATCGCCTCCTGAACGACGGTGTGTGTTGGCGGTGTCAAAGCCTCTGGTCCATCGCCTCCTGAACGACGACGATCCAGAACGACGACGATGCGATCTCGTATGCGATCTCTTGATGACAGAGTGATAAGAGGGCATACTAGGAATGCAAAATGCATTCCTGATTCCCTCACCCTCCGGGAATTCAATTACCTCATCCATGGAGGGAGTCCAATTCCTCTGTTTTTAGGAATTGAATTCCATTTTTCGTGTAGGTCCCATACACTATTAATTCCTCTCAATTTCAGTAAACAGAAGAGTGATCCGGAATCAGACTCCTTATTTTCATTCCGATTACAGATTCGTAAACACACCATTGGTTCTTTCTTCTTTGCGCACAAAACTAGAGTTTCATATGTTTGCAGAAACTGTTATTTGTGTTACATTTTACAAGTCTCTTATTCTTAATCACAGTGACAAAATATTTATGGTCAATTATTCTTAAATTCGATATTAAGAATTCAAATTAGAACACTAAAAGTAGATTCATTTATTCTGATGACTTGTACTGTAATTTGTATGTACATAAAGAGAGAGAAAATTGCAATCACAAGTAAAGAAAACGATAAGAGGCAACAACCTTCATCTTGGGGAATTACTTATTTTTCCCCAGATACAGAGAGTCATTGTTATAATATTCTAAACCCTAAAACATCTACAGAAGGAAAAGGCACTCACCACCTTAATATTACCGCAAAACATTGATGCCCCCCACATTGGAACTACTACTATGAAGTCTTAACTCAAAAGGAAGACCTTCAAACCAGAAAGCAAGGCACTGAGATTTCTCAAAATGGAGCTGTTGATGTTCGATGAAGATTGTGCC